CCTCCCCTCCCATTATCAACATCCCAGCAAAAGCAGTACATTTGTTACAACTGATGAACCTGTATTGACATCTCATTACCATCCAGAGTTCATAATTTACATCAGGGCTCACTCTTGAGGTCGTACATTCTATGGGTTTAGAAAAGAGAATAAAGCCATGTATCCATCATTCTGATATAATACACAGTATTTTCACTGCCTACAGATTTTTGCTCCACCTGTTCATATTTCCCTTATCCCTAATCTCCAGCAGTCACTGATCGTCTTCTTGTCACCACAGTTTGGTCTTTTCTGGAATTAATTGGAATCAGACAGTATGAAGCCTTTTCAAAATGACTTTTTCCATTTAATAGTAATAGGAATTTTAGAGTTCCTCCATGGCTTTTCATAGCTTGCAAGATTGTTTCTACTTAGAAATCGCTTCTCCGCCTTTTGGCTAAGATCAAGTGAAGATTGTTTCTACTTAGTAATGAATAATATCCCATTGTCTAGAGGTACCACAGTTTCTTTATCTATTCACCTACTAAAGGACGTCTTGGTTGCTTCCAAGTTTTGGTAATTATCAATAAGCCTACTATAAACATCCAGGCATAGGGTTTTTTGTGGACATAAGTTTTCAGTTTAGATAAATATCAAAAAACATGATTGCTGGATCATATGGTAAGAGTACGTTTAGGGGCTGACCTTTATTTAGCACTGAGAAATGAGTTAATAAGGGGCTGTAACTACTTCAGATATTACAATGTAAAAACAAGGAAGATTTGACCACATCAGTTTATGTCAGCTTACAAATTGCCCCATGAGCCACAATACACACATTTTACACTTCCCATTGCCTTTTTCCATGTCCATATCTCTTCTATTTCTTCTTTCCTGTCTGTATCTGCCAAGTGCTTTCTTCTTTTTATGTCTGCTGATATGTATTGCCATTACCGTGAGAGTATTTCTTCCCTCACTGTTTTCCTCTTTCTCTATCTCTCTTCCTTTCTTTTCTGTCTTCCTACTGTCTCTTTCTACTTTATCTTTTTCTCACAGTCTATACCTTTCCTCACTTAAATCAGTCACTATGTAGAAATCAAGTGGATTTTTTAAACCTATGCCATATTTAAGTAAAGTTTATGTTATTTCTTGATTTTAAAAGTCCACATACTAATCTATATGATTTTTTAGGTTTATTTATTTATTTTGAGAGAGAGAACACAAGAAAGGGAGGGGCAGAGAGAAGGAGAGACTGAATCCCAAGCAGGCTCCATACCATCACCGCAAAGCCTAATGTGGGGCTCGAACTCACAAACTGTGAAATCATGACCTGAGCTGAGATCAAGAACAAGCTGCTTAACTGACAGCCACCCAGGTGCCCCTTAATCTATGTGATTTTAAGGAAACTATAAATTAGGTGTATCCCAAGAACCAGAGGAATGGCCTCCTCAATGTCAAGATCACTCCAATTTTTAGGAAACGCCTCGACCTCTAGATTAAATCAACACTTTCACATGGTCTAGGAGGTACTAAGAAACTTAATAAATTCAGCTATTATCTTTTCTTTTCATTAAATGACTTTTTTCTGCTGATGTATAAATCTGTGAAGTCGAGGATGATAGGGTCCTGTACACCTTACAAGCAAGCATCTAACCGTGTATCTGGAGCATAGAAGGCAGTTAAACAATGTTAAATAAATAAATAAATAAAGTAATAAAAAATTTCAACCCATCTCAATCTCCATGTTTTCAAAAATAGCCCAACTTTCTCAATCTTTGTAATTCATCTAAAAGTTTAATACTCATTCCACAGTTCTCTGAAAATGTGAAGACCAGAAGTGAACTGTGGAGAATGGGATAAAGAATCCATTCTCATAGGCAGTGGGTTCTAAGATAAATTCTATAAATTTTTAAAGTTTCTTGTTGTGATCTCATCTTGAGACTGTGATGTGCTACACACTGTTCTATTTTCCCCTTACCTCTTAATGCTCCAGAAATATCTTCTCTAACACTGAATTACTTTCTACCTATTAGACTTTCTACCTATTAACCACAGTGGGCCTCTTTTCCTTATGGTTTCTTATTCCCAACCTGCGATGTTTTTTTTTTCCTCTAAAAGGGTGAAAACACCAATAAATGAAGATAAATCGTTGGCTTTGTTCCAAAACAAGCTTGTTGTTTTAGGACCCCAAACTGTCTCAAACATCATTAAGAATCAGCAGGCCACCCAAAGTTGCGCATCAATTAGCAATTAGGTCACACATTGGGTGGTTGGAGGCACTCAGCCTTTGGCCTTGTTCCTTGCAGCACACCCAAGCAGGCCACCAGTATCCAAACAATGCCCACCCTGCTGTATCTTGTTCCTTAATTGGGATAACTTAGAGATGCTAATGTGCACAGGCAGACCCTGTCTCTCCAATTAGGCCTCATTAGTGGCTCTGCCAGTGGTGACCACTGCAAAGTGATATTTGCTCTTGGGAAGGCTTTGTGAGGTGCTCTGGGTTCCTGCAGAGAAGCAGTAAGGACAGGTTTTACACTCTTCAGCAACAAACTCCTTCCCTCGGTTTTCTACAGCCACTGTCAGTGCGGCGAGCATTACTTTTCATGGTTCAGTTATAGTACCATGACTCTTGCTGTCTGGGGTGGCAAGTGGAAATTCTAACAGACACCCACTTGGAGAGGACTGGTTTATGTGTCCTCTTTTTCCCCAGCCCCCACTGGCTTTCCATGAAATACAGAAAAGATGTTCAGAGACAGGCTTCTGAAACCCAAAGACAACAGCGCTCTGAATCCTGAAGTATCCCATAAATAATTTCAGCTGTCTACACAGAAAAAACTAGAAAGCAACCATTTTGAAAAATGCCTAGGGAATGAAGAATGCAATTATTTTTTCTTTATTTTTTAGGTCTGGGATATTTCAAAAGGAAAAATGTTGAGAATGATGCTCTTAACTCTCCACAATGGGAAACCGGTTGTTGGTCTCGGCAAACTGTAGAGAGAGGCACACTAACAGAGGCCTCTAGATATTTTAGTCTCTGCAAGTTTAGTTTAAAAGGAGACACAATGTGATCCTTCATGAGGGTCACTGGCACAAATCCACCTGGGTTATACCATTGTTAGAGTTTTACCCCATAATCCTTGCAGACAAGAGCTCCTTCCAGGCAAGGATGGCAATAGAGCCTCCTGCTGCTATTTCCTCAGTTCACTCAACTGAGTTCTTCTTTCAATATTTACATCTTTTTTTTTTCTTAAGAATAGAAGAGAGTGAAATAAATACACTCAAATAGATAAGACTGGATACAGACTGATCAATAATAGAGGACGATAAAAATGGCAGATCTGACAGTGTCACTTGCTTGCAATTATTTGTTTTAAAAATCTCCCCCCTTTATGGGCATGGAGGAGGACACTTGTGGGGATGAGCACTGAGTGTTATGTGGAAACTAATTTGACAATAAACTATTTGTTAGAAAAAAAAAAACCTCCCCCCCTTTTTTTGGACCATTCACATTCTAGCCGCTGCCTAAACTCTTGGCACCATAGTATGTATCAAGACATTCACCACCTAAAGAGCTGTTAGGAGAATCATCAGAGTAGAGCTTTGCTAGTGGCCATTTCCATCATGTAATTTTTTTCCCCCTAGTTACTTGCATCCTTCTTCCTGCCCCTTGACTTGTATGAGCAGTTGCTGTAAAGATGGCAGGATGTCAATGCCCCCAAAATTGAACCTGTGATTTGTTTTTCTTTGATTTATGTTCTTGTAGTCAATAAACTTTATAAAGGAAAGTATCAGACTGAACAATCAATCAAAGATAAACAGATTCCTGTCCTTTAAAAGCATTTCAGCCCAGTAGGTGAGTGCCTCATTCATCTTTTACAGGCACGCTTTTGGCCTTTCCACTGAGACACAACGGACTGCTCACTACAGGCAGCTCTTCTACCAAAGGGCTGCGGCAGCTGAGCTGAGATTTATCAATTTCATGGCACCAGTCGTCCTGATATGGTATCATTTTCAGGATCTAAATGGTTAAGCATGCTGTTTGCATGCTGAGACCCAGCCTTTCCATCTACCTGAAAGGAGAGAGAAATGAGTAGTTTTAAACACTCTAGGTTTACACTTTATAGTTCTATAAAAATTCTTATGTACTTTTTTTTATTCTAAAAAGCCGAATTCCTTCTTTGAAAAAGAGAATTCCCTCTTCGTTCTATTAGCGGTTTCTGAATCTTCCCTCGAATCAGGCAAATGTCATCCTGCATTTTTTTGCTTCTCCGCAGCACAGATGGTGTGCATATGCAGATTGGTGATTTTCTAATCAATACAGTGGCACTTGGGAATATCTGTAAGTATTGTAATAATGCATTAGTCAGGAGTGATGTTGTAACACACTGAGATCATACACATAAATCTAAGACACCATGTCTAGACACTCCAGGGAAGACGGCATGGCATGGGTTAGAGCAGGCATTAAGGGAGGGCAATATTTCAAATATGATGGGAAAATAATGCAATTTGCAGACTTTAATAAAACCACTGGGGAATTAATTTCAGTAGGGGTACATTCTCTCCCCAAACATTCGCATTCTTATGTTTGCTTCATGGACACTTGTAATGAGATACTTTTCACCTGTTATCTCAGGCATAAACACAGAATGGGATCTGTGAATTGAGCTGGATTTTTAATGTGCTGAATATGAAAATAATCCCTTTATAGGTAGTGCTTTAGCTGTACAAAAGTGCATTATGCAAACAACACAGAGACAGAATAAACCTTAGAGATTCAGAGTTAGAAGAGCTTATAAATTAATTTCCTACACATACCTTGAGCGTGCTCAGAGTCCATTCAATCATAAAACCTGACCAACTGAACCTGCAAAGTTTTAATAGGGATGGGCTTGATGACGGAAAGTGAAAACAATATTAAATGTATGCCCATTTTAACACTACCCAAAAGTTCCAGGCTGGTTATACTCTCTGTTGCTTCGATGCCATTTACCCTTGAATCCTTTATTTTAATCACCCAGACTCAAGTTTAAATTCTGCAAGCTGATGGCAGACCTGACGTCATGTATTCACCTTAACAGAAATGCTGTGATTAGAATGTTAAATCAAATGTATCCAGAAATGAAGACTTGTAAGTATTTTCTTTTTTAAAAATGTTTATTTGTGTGTGTGTGTGAGACAGAGAGAGAGACAGACAGACAGACAGAGAGAATGCATAAGCAGGGGAGGGGCAGAGAGAAAGGGACACAAAGAATCCAAAGCAGGCTCCAGGCTGTCAGCACAGAGTCAGATGCAGGGCTCAAACTCACAAACTGCAAGATCATGAACTAAGCTGAAGTCGGGTTGGATGCTTAACCAACTAAGCCACCCAGGCACTGCTAGCGGTTAAGTATTTTCAAGCCAAACACAAGAACAAGATGCACAGACTATCTCCACCCCCTTTGCTGGTAAGTTTCAGACAGTAACACAATAGGCCCCTGGTCCCACAGACTCCTTAGTCTGTCCACTGGTTGTCATTTTGGTCCACTGCTTCCTACGTGAAGTCCCCTCAAGTCTCAGGCCAGCTCTGTGCTTCTAACACTGGAGGCTTTTCAATTAAAATGCAAGAGAAGTGAAGGCTAGATGGAATCAACCCAATTATCTCTGTAGCCATAGAAATGCACATGATAAATGAACTCCAACCTTTTCCTTTCTGATGACAACTTGGGCTCTGAATAGAGGTGTGATTTTTTTTCTCCCCCCCCCCCCCGCCGTTTTTTTTTGAGTGTGTGGAAGAATGTAGTTTTCTATACTAAGAGTGAAACGCCACTTCCTTGACAAAACATCTCAAGGCATAATGCTTCCAAGTACCTGTACAGTTTGGTTCTATGAAGGCTTAGGCTTAGAAAAAAATTTTTTTTTCTCAGACTTCTGTCCAGAGGGAACGTACATTGTAGCATCTTATTTGCAGAAGTCTCTTCTTACAGCATTAGTGATTCATTTCCTTATTATGTTAATTTTTAAATTTGTGTTTCTAAATATTTTCCCCTGTATCTTTCTTTCAAATACTGCTTTTAAAGGGGGAGGAAGAACACAAGCAGAACATATTAAACCTGTTTCATTTCCTGGGCCTTTGACCCACTCCCCTCTTGGTGGAAGGCACTTTTGTCTACATTACTAATAATGGACACACATTTTGTGAGAAAGGTTAGAAAGCTCAGCAAGAGCAGAGGTCAGGCTACGGTTTTCCATATTCCTTGGGTCTTCGGCCATTCAAATACACCCAGTGGTCACTAGATATTGCTCAGTGCCAACAATGACCATGGAGAGCTTCAAGAGCACCTTAGTAAGTAGCATCCACTCAAAGCATAAGACATAGTTGCTCTCTCTTTCATATTGAGGAAAACCAGAAAATTCCATCTGAATATTTCTTCTGTAGCTCTTACTGTATCCCACTATTTCCTTTTAACTTCAGCAATCTTTCCGTCAAATGCAGAGTACAGGAATCCGTGTATTGTCCTTTCTTTGTCAATTGGCCTATAGCTCAAAATACTGCTGGAGTTTATCCCATTTGAATTCTTAGTCATACAATAATCAAAACTTAAACTGTCATGTTCCTTTTGCTATTTTTTTCCCTGTCTTATTCTTAGGGTCATTTTAATTCCCTAGTTTCACTTTTAAACATTTTATGAGAGCTATCACCAAACTATGTGTTTAAGAATATGTCCCTGCAAACACTAACAATTTCACTCACTTTTTATAATCTACTTCACTATGATCTGATTACCCAATGTCAGTTTCTTCCGGTTCTACAGAAATTTGAGATGGTGGTATGATCACAGAGATAATGTGTGTTCACTTTTATTGAATAATTTGTAGTTTATACAGTGCATTTGGGTGGGGATGAAAAGGAGAAAAAGGATTGATTATTAAACAGTATGTATGCATGATCCTATTCATGACTCAACCATTAGGGTTTTGGCCTGAAGATGAAGGATAAAGGTCTTTGGAAGGGGTTGAGCATAATGTTACCAGGAGAAAGAGATCTCAAAAAAGAGACACGACACTGCCCCTCCGAATGGGGTCAATGAGGGAACAGCAACCATTTATAGCAGAAGACAAAATTAGAGTTCCTCACATCAAGATCAGTCATAAATAAAATTATTTTTCAGGAGACAAAGTTCATTTCTACATTTATAACCAATCCCTCATTGTGGCCATTTCTTCCTCAAGCCCATCAAAGCTGTTTGACTTAAATAACAACAATGTTTAATCTCACACTTCACGATCTTCCCTAGCTAGTAAGATTGGATCCTGCAGGTGTTAGAAGACCGGTGAGAAGATCCCACCAAAATATCTGTCACCAAACCAAACAGAAAAATTATAATTTCTTTGGTTTAAGGCTTTGTTTGCCTGTTAAAATGCAAATAGCCTTGTGGAAAATAATATTTTATTAATCGACTATATTTCAGTATTAATAACATTATCAGATCTTTACCTAAAAACAGGTATTAATTAATATACAGGTCTTAGAAGCCCTTGGCAGAGAATATCTCAGAGAAATGAAGAATATATCAAACTGGGGAAGGAATGTAGGGGGCGCAGAGGATAGTGTGAAAATTTTAACAATACAAAGTTAGTGACACTGAAAACTCATTTCTTTGCTTATCAATTATGCCTTGCACTGTCTCTACCTGAAGGTGAAACTATGGAACAGGTATCTATAAAACAATAAACACATATTGCTAAAATAAACAGTTCTCTGTGTGTACTCTCCAGTTGACTCAAAACTGAAGATGGGCACTAATTAATTACCATTTCCCCAGCATGGGACATTGTGCCCAGAGGTATGGAGCGCAAGGTGAAAATGCAGATTTCCCCATATCGTGGTGTTTACCAGGAATGCTGGGCTCCCTCTGTCTCCTAGTTCTTAGCCCCCTCCTATTTTCCACTGCAGATCAATGTATCATCAGATGACAGATTACTGATTAAACCAGTCTTAGAATCAGTTTAAGTCTGAGTCCTCTAAAGAAAGAATCTGCCATTTCAAAGGCTATGGGTCTCACTCTCTTTCTCCCCTCCCCAAACCATTTTAAACAACTGAGAACATAAAGTTCTTAGAACAATTCTGGAAGTAATTTGAATTATTCACAAAATAGTATGTCTATATACTATTTTTATGCTTTTCTTCCAACTCCATTGTTTTCTGTGCATGAAAATAAGAGGACTATTTTCTCCTTTGTTTCTCTTCTGACACTGCGTAATATTTTATATCAATAATACCATGCAAAATAAAATGCCATTTTAAAGTATCTGCATCAAATTAAGTGGTCTAAACCATCTGGTAAAGAGGATGAGCACTGCATTTATCTTTTTTATTTTATTTGTTTTTTTATTTCTGAGATAGAGACAGCGTGAACAGGGGAGGGTCAGAGAGAGAGGGAGACACAGAATCCGAAACAGGCTCCAGGCTCTGAGCTGGCTGTCAGCACAGAGCCCGACGCAGGGCTCGAACCCACGAACCGTGAGATCATGACCTGAGCCAAAGTCAGACGCTCAACTGACTAAGCCACCCGGGTGCCCTGAGCACTGCATTTATAAATCAAAACGGACCCAGTCCCAGCTCTGCCCTCTTGCAGCCTGTCTAGGACCCATGTCCACTTCTGTAAGATAAAGGGGCTGGACTCCTTAGCATCAGCAAAATTGTTCCATCTTATCTGCCAAGTCAGACCGGTTTGCGAGTTGGTCACCTGAACTTCTGGGTTAAAAAGGACTATGATTCCCAGTCCAATTCCACTGATCAGCAACATCAGCCAGGAGCAAAGTCAGGGGAAGTAGCAACACCCAGACTAGATTCAGTCATCCTGGAACCAGATGATCTTAAAATGCTCCTATTACTTCTGGAATCTTCATTCTCAACTACAGAATAATTTACTTTTGTTATTAAAAAAAAAACTATACACAGGTATAAAACTAAAAACTATCAATTTATTTTTTTAAAGAAAGCTGAAATTTGCCAATAAATTATATACTTAAGAGTAAAACAACTTGTCAATAGGGTTAAGCAACCTTTATTGTAGCCTGTATTGGAGCACACAGTGTATTTTCATAAAAATTTGCCTTAATATCCGCAAATTCTGCCCCATTGTTTTAAACTATTTTGTCAATCCCCAGTGCTTAAAACAAGAAAGTCATATAGTTCACAGTGCTGATGGCACTGTGATGAAGTAATGCCATCCGAAAAAAATATATTTATAGGATTTTAGAGTCCCATGTGTTTTCAAACAAACCATACTTTTCACCCAAAAGTACATGATAATTGTTAGGAATTGTGACAGGCAGTGTGTAAGTCTCATTTTATACCAGCATGTTCAATATGAAAGGACTATCATCTTGTGGTTCATACTAAATTAGGAAATCCCATGTGATCACACCATATCACAAGTTGGGAATGACTGTATGTGTAAGGACCTTAATTATTATTTTGTCTTTTTTTTCTTTAAGGGAGAGAAAAGTCTTTTCTTTTCCTTAATCGGCAATATACCCTGTAAATAATGTGTTCCCTTCACACTGAAAACCATTTAATTCCCTATTATCTCACTTCATTAGCCAAATGTCCTGTTTAGGCAAACTCTGAATATAAAGCACATTATAATGTAGTAGGAAAATAATATTTAGAAACAGCCTTTAACTGAAAAAGAAAAACCCAGCAAAACAAGTCAATGTAGATGATATGTATTCATTATATTCAGGCCATTTCAGAGATTTAACTCTGTTATGATTGACCTTGGAATCAACAGGGAGAAATTTCCACATGTTGTACTAAGTTAACAGTGAATTCTGACGCAGGCAAAAGTGAGAAAAGTTAGAAAATAATTCTCAGTAAAGATTTTGAATATATGTTAAGACCTTGGGCCAAACTAGAAGGGCTTTAAGGACGAAGAAAATCTGTGTATCACCACTGCGTATCTCTATCCACCACTGACCTCTCCCCAGCAAAATATCCTTTGAAATGTAGGGAAATATGAATAAGGAGTACATTTAACAGGACAAATAGTTACAAAGAAGAGCCTGCACTGTGTGTATAAAGAAAGGAGGCCATCCCCAAGGAAGTATGGGAGAGGCTATAGGCCCCAGGCAAACATAAACACT